ATTAGGCCTCCGGCACCACACTCATCAGACGAAACGCGGAAATGCTTCCACTTCACGCCTGTTTTCTGTGTGGTCGTGGTATTACACCGGGCGAGCCGGCCCTGCAGTGCGAAGATGTTAAAGCGGGTTCTACCACTGTTAAAAATTAATCTCTTATTTATAGGATAATAATAGACAAAGAAACACCTATATTTGTGGATAAATTACCTCGTGATATGCACCGCCTGGGCACTAAGTTGATGCGTAGTTTGAACATTGAACAGCAGAGGGCGGTGTTCAATGCACTTGCAGCTAAAGATTATGCATTACTGCAAGGATTGCCCGGCACTGGTGAGTATTATTAATAATTTATATTTATTACTAGATTTCGCCCGCGACTCCCTCTGCGTGGAATTAAAAAACACAAAAGTGAGTAGCCTATGTGTTCTTCCAGACTATCCTCTACATCTATACCAAATTTCAAGTTTAGGCTATAAAATCCTTTCATTTAAACGTATTTGTAATATTAGTATGATTATTAATATGGGCGTCGCCACCACCCTCTAGATACGTTCTAAAAACATAGACTGGAGACGCGAACACTAATGTTTACTATTAACAATTTATTTTAGTATCTCAATATCTCGATATCTCAGTGTTTACCGGTCACTAAGGACCTTTAGTGTAGTTTTAGTGTTACATGTATACTTAAAAATGCTTAAATAATGATTAATCCACTCAGAGTATGGTAGTACTAAACTTATTCATTACATGTTGTCAAAGTTTATAAGTCGATTTGTATGAAAATGTATATAAATGTTTCAGGTAAAACAAAGACTATAAGCGTGCTAATACAAATGCTTGTCGCGTTAAAACAACGAGTACTAGTGACGGCGCACACGCACTCCGCGGTTGATACTGTCTTAGCCAGGTAGTGCATATCAGCATATCTATATCTATATCTATGTGTATATCTATATCTATATCTATATCTATATCTATATCTATATCTATATCTATATCTATATCTATATCTATGTGTATATCTATATCTATGTCTATATCTATATCTATATCTATATCTATGTGTATATCTATATCTATATCTATATCTATATCTATATCTATATCTATATCTATATCTATATCTATATCTATGTGTATATTAATATTATAAAAAGGAAAAAATTGTAGTTTTGGATTTTTGTAAGTATTAATAATTCAAAAATTACTGGGGACCAATTTAAAATTCCTGCACCATTAAAAAGCTGTATTTATACCTTTTTTTAATTTCATGCGGGCGAAATCGCGAGCAACAGATAGTTATAGTTGACTTCGTCCGCTGAAATTAAAAAAAAAACTTACTAAATAGCCTATGCATTCTACCAGACCATATTCCACATCTGTGACAAATATTATCGAATTAAATTAAATCGTTTTGGAGATATGTAGTAAAAATATCCATCCAAACGACATTTTATTTAAAAGATGATTAGCATTTAGAGGGAGTTAGGATAACATGCCATTAAATCTAAATTTTATGTGTATGAAGATTTATAAGATAAATTCAAAGTAAGCAGCTAATTTATTATTTAAATCAATACTAAGTGGCTCTTTTAGTTACATTAAATTTACTCTTCCAGACTTCCAGAATCCATACAAATGTTACGGCTGGGATCGTGCGCGCGCGTGGCGCCGCACTTGATACATCGGTGTGAGGAAAAACTGACAGCTTCCTGCGATAATTCTGAACAACTATCTAAACTTTACGATTCTATGGTAATAATGGTACTAATATTATAAATGCGAAAGTTTAGATGGATGGATGGATGGATGTTACTGTTTGTAGCCTAAACGGCTGAACGGATTTCGATGAAATTTGGTATAGATATAGAGGATAGTCTAAAATAACACATAGGCTACTTACTTTTGACTTTTTTAATTCGACACGGACGGAGTCGCGGGCGAAATTCATATAATACTTATACACATTCTTTTTTTTATTAGTTGAGGAGTAAGTTAATAAGGAGCTACTAAAATATGTATATTTGTAAAGCTTCATGTATACGACTTTGTTTTCAGAAATGTATAAGCCCATATTCATTCGAATCTTGATCAATTCATGATATTAAATAATTCGACGTGCTTATGTATTTTTAAAAGTCTAAATCAGCGATTTTAAACCACTGTGCCGCGGTATTTTTGTGTGCCGTCAACTTTTACACATTTTTGTCATAAACTATTTATGGAGTGTGTTGTAGAAAGTAAATAATTTTTATCTTTTTCTTTGTGTGCCGCCAAATTTTGAAATCTACAAAAAAAGGTTGAGAATCAGTGGTCTAAAACCCAGCTGACTGCCCAAATGTATTTTTGTTGTAGCATAAAAAATCTTTCTTTCTGTACTCTTTCCTTTTTTTCATTATTTATCAATTGTAGTTTTGTCCAAATGTTTTTTTTTGTGTTTTTGACATGAATAGTTCGTTTTAAGTGTGTATGAGTTTTACTACTTTTTCTAGGAGGTAGTTGGTGTGACGTGCCTGGGCGCGGCGCACGCCATGTTGGCGCGCACCACATTCGACGTATGCATTGTGGATGAAGCTACGCAGGTATATTAGTATATTATATATTAGCGGTTTCTCGTGACTTAGCCCGCATGTAATTTTAAAAAAATATGGCCTATATCACTCACAGATAAATCACCTTTTTGATGGTGAAAGAATTTTTGAAATCGGCCTAGAAGTTTTTGAGTTATTTCAATATATACAAAAATACATAAGAGATATGTAATCTTTACTAATATTATAAGAGGAAAACTTTTTTGATTGTAATGAATAGGTTTAAAAACTACTGGGTCGCTTTTAAAAATTCTTTCACCGTTAGAAAGGTAAATTATCTGTGAGTAACAAAGGTTTTTTTATTTATTATTGTTTTTAAATTTCACGCGGACGGAGTCGCGGGCAAAAGCTAGTTATAAATATAGATGCAAAATATTATATTTACTTAGACGTTGTTTTTATATGTGTCTCATTTAACAGGTGTTACAATGTACAGTGTTGAGGCCGCTGTTTGCATCCAAGCGATTTGTTCTAGTCGGCGATCCCGAACAGTTGCCGCCCGTCGTCAGAAGAAATGCTGCGAGGTTATTATAATTATTTAATACTGCCTTTCGCCTGCGACTCCGTCCGCGTGGAATTGAAAATAAAGAAAACTATGTAGCCTTTGTATTCCTCCAGACTATCCTCTACATCTATGCCAAATTTCCTCAAGATCCGTTCTGCAATATAGGCTACAAAATCTAAGAAACGTGTTTCTTTTTTACAAACTGCTTACTTACCCTTTAATAATTTACCAACTTTATGTATTGCTGGACACAGGCTAATGTATACGAAAAGGTAATATAAATTGTGATTTCTTATAATTTTTAAGCTACAAAGTATTGTTATAACGGTGTTTTATTGTTAAGCTACTTTTGTTTATTTTAGACAATTAGGCATGGAAGAGAGTTTGTTTCACAGACTAATGGGTAGTGAAGCTACTTCCACACTCAGACTGCAGTATCGTATGAATCAGCCTCTAACTGATTTAGCAAACAGTATCGCTTATAATGATAGATTAAAGTGCGCTACTAAAACAGTAGCTGATGCTTCCATTAACATTGATATTCAGGTAAACGTTTGCATTTTCTTTGAATTTTTATCTTACTTAAATTAGTGTAACTCATTGTATTGCAGATGGCTTTCTAATTTGACATCAGCGCCATCTAGTTGCAATTTCTAGTGTTTGTATATGTTTTTACAAAAATTTTTTTTTTCAGAAAATATCACAAGTAGACTCAGACTCTTGGTTACTTACCGCTTGTAGCCCAGAACCAATGTACGCAGCAGTATTTGTAAATCTAGAGAATATTGTTTCAAAAGAAAAAGAACAGAAGACAATTTCTAATTGGGAGGAGACATGTTTGGTGTTAAGTATCATAGAGGCAATGAAGCAGGTAAAAAATCATATCTAAGTTGTGTGGTTTCGTTAAATAAAATCCGACAAATAATTTATTTATTTGCTTATTTAATTAACTCCTTATTACAGGGCGGAGTGACATCCTCAGATATCGGAGTGATAGCGCCATACCGCGACCAGGTGTCGCTACTGCGCCGCACACTACCGCCTCTGGCGGTGGAGGCCAGTACCGTAGACCAATTTCAGGGGAGAGACAAGTCTGTTATCATTTATTCGTGCACTAAGAAGGATGATGGTCAAAAAGACAAAACAGTTAAGGTAAATGCATTTACATGCTGTTCTAGGTTTCTTTGTTAAGTGTTGATATTTTTTTGGTGAACCAATACGCGTGGTTTTTTTTTAATGTATTTTTTTTCTTTAGGAAGAAGAGATTCTGAATGATCAACGACGATTAGCCGTTAGTGTGACGCGTGCGAAACACAAGTTGATCGTTATTGGCAACTACAACGCACTCCGTCGATATGAACCTCTCGAAAAACTGATACAAGCATGCTACCGTATATCTATAGGCGAAGATATATTAAATAAACTTTTAAATAAATATAAAACGATTCAGATAAACTAATATGACCTAAGTACAAATGTGTAAAAGTGTATGAATGATTAGATTTTTTGTACATGTTTTAATCATGTGTTAGTATTTTTTCAACGGAGTTATTTTTAAAATTGTGTTTCTTTGATTAAAGTATACTATGATATATATCCGCTTTCAATTGCTTTCTAAAAGAAAACCCTTAGCTGATAGAAAAGCCGTTGGTTATCCTTCAAAATATCGAGACCAATGAACACTATTGCTATTTAAATATTTGAATTACATTATATTTTTAGCCAATTTCTAAAAGTAGTAAAATAGTTTAAAATGGAACGTAAACATAAAAAATGACAAGTGAATTTTACTAACGTCATTTGTCAATGTCAAATTCAAATAAAATTTTATCAACATAATAAGATGTTTATTTTTCTTATCTTGTTTTACTTTACCCAGTTATTTACGGAATATTATTGAAAGTGGTTGTGCTTCTGTATCATTAGATTTCTTAGTCGTCTGATAACAGGAACACATGTGATTTTTCCAGCCTAATGATTTAATTGTAACAATTATTTGGCAATAATAATTGTAGGTGCTCTGTTATTCTTGTTCAATTTAATCTGGACTAGAAGTTCTTAATTTTTGCTAATGTATGTTTATATTTGAAAGAAGATTTTAATAGGCAGCTTAATAATTAACCAACTACAAAATTAATAACAAAAATATAACATCATATCAAGTTTAATTAAGCGATAGCGTAATTTTAAGAAAACAAATTAATTATTTACCATTTTTGTGATTCCGATAATTCGTAATTGTATAGTAATTAAAAGAAAAAGAAGAATTACCAATAATGGCTGCGAAAATCATTGCAATAATCACCGTCAGTGATACATGTTTTAAAAACACCTCAAATGATACTTCTGGACCAACATTAGTTGAACTTGTGAAAGAATTGTTTCCTAAATCTACTATCCAAACCACAATAATCCCCGATGAAAGAAAAATAATTGAAGATAAGCTTAAAGAGTATTGTGCAAAGAATGCTGATTTAATTATTACAACTGGAGGTACAGGATTTAGTAATAGAGATGTGACACCAGAGGCAACTAAAGCAGTCATTGAAAAGGAAGCACCAGCTATAACTATTGCATTAACAATTGAAAGTCTAAAAAAAACTCCAATGGCAATGGTTTCACGTTCAGTAAGTGGTATACGAGCTAACACACTCATTATAAACTTTCCAGGCAGTAAGAAAGCTGTTGTAGAATGTTTTGACGTAATTAAGCCAATATTGCATCATGCGATAGAAATCATTAGAAATGAAACAACAAAAGTTAAGTCTGTGCATGCTGAAATGCAGGGTCACATTTGCCCACACACAATTAGTAATGTAGATGTATCGAAAGTTGCTTTGAGACCTAGAGAATCTCCGTATCCTATGTTAGAAATGCCTGAAGCCTTTAAAATAGTTGATACTGTAATGAGTCAATGGGTTGGAGGCATACAAGAAGTTAATATAAAAGATGGATTGGGTCATGTTGTGGCTGAATCTCTTTACGCTAAAGAACCAATGCCACCATTTCCTGCATCTATTAAAGATGGTGAGTTATATTAATTCATAAATTAATTAATTAGTTAATTTGTAAATTAATTTAATTTAAAACTGAATGTTAACCCAAAAGTAAACAAAAATCATGAATGTTGTTATATACATTTTTTTAATGATATGAGTAAATTATGTTGAAATACAATATTGACATTTGACACTAAAATAATCAGTTCTCTGATTATGCCTAGTTCATAGTTATTACATAAGAGGTTTCATTGTTATTAAGATAAGAAGTTATTACAATTGTATCAAAAAACCTCTTATAATCCAAGTTTTATGATAAGATACAATTAAAATAAGTCTATCCAAATAAGCTCTTACACCCTCAACCCTGATTGGCATAAAATCTTTCTACCAATAACAAATAGTTAGTTTATCACAAATATAATTCAAATTGCATCATTTAAAGTGCAAATTATTCTTATTTTGTAACACTAGCAGTTAATTATCTGATGCCTTATCAAATAGTTTGGAAATTATTTCATGAAGTTAATTATAAAGGATGGTCTATAACTGTACATAGCAAATGCAATAAAATTAATTATTCATGCACCTGTTCAATGTAGTGTGAAGAGAAAGTTGTATATGAAATTTCTGTTAGCTGGAATTTTAAGAAAAATGTTTTTATTAAATCTGTTCACACTTCTTAAACACCAAATAGAAAGTATGATTTAAATTATAATAGTGAGATTAACTGCTTTTAAATAGCATGCATGGATATTTCCAGTGAGTGGCAGATAAGCCTCTCTAGAGAATTGAAAAATAATAAATAAAAAAAATCACTTATAAAAAGAAAAAAGACCATATTAATATTAGGTGCATTCCCTTAAACTAGCCTCTTACTAATGTCGACATTCACTGGCAATACCAATGCATTTTAAATTTGATTATAGTATTAATTTCTCTTTAACATTATGTGCAAGATATTAATAGCCAGGGAAATAGCCTATTAGTTTTAATATGCTTATTTAGTTTTAATTTAGATAACAAGTAGTTGTAACTGATAATTGTTTGAACTGGTTCAAACTGACCCTTATCAATACATCTGTTATACTGATAAAGGTCCTTATTACTGAAAAGTAAATGATGAAGGAAATTTTTTTTTTATTATGTAAAATCAGGTTAAGTATATTTTTCTTAGAATTTGACACATTACATTTGTACCAATATTATAGAGGAATTTGTATTTTGGATTTTCTGATGTTTTAAAATAACTTAAAAACTACTACACCAATTACAAATATTCTTGCACCATAAAAAAGTTAAGTTATCAGTGAGTATAGGCTATTTTTTACAATTTTTTTTTTAATTCCACGCGGACGAAGTCACAAGCAACAACTATTATATAACAATACAGTTACTATTGTTAGGTTACGCTTGCATCAGTTCAGACAGCGTGGGCGTACGACGAGTCCGCGCGGCTGTGACTGCCGGGGACAGTTTCAACTTGTTGCTGCAGCCTGGAGAATGTGCACGTATAAATACCGGCGCTCCACTGCCGCCTGGCGCTGATTGTGTAGTACAGGTAAAATTGCCTCTCTTATCATCTTCAGACTCCAAGAAATACTACATAAACAGCTTTTGCATATGGTGTTAAATGATTCTACTTTTGAGAATTGATAGCGAAAGATATGTTAACATTGATTTCTTCAGTCCTAATATGATTAACCATAAAGAGTAGATATTTATTGACTACGTGATTGTGCAGCTTACAAAATTAAACATCCTTGATTAACACCTAATTGTTCTAATACTAGTTTTCGCCCGCTACTCCGTTTGCGTGGAAATAAAAGAAAACACGAGTATATATAATATCCTCTTCATCTATGTGAAATCTTATTAACACCTGTCAGCAGTTTAGGCTATAAACTCTTAACTATCTCACTAAATTTTTGCATTTATTATATTTCTAAGATAGTAAGATTAAAGACTGAATGTTCAAACCAATAATTCTGATATTTCAGGTAGAAGATACGAAGCTAATTTCAGCATCGCCCGATAATGAAACAGAGTTAGAGGTTGAAATACTCGTAGCACCGAAACCCCAACAGGACGTGCGGCCCATCGGCTTCGATATAGCTTTGGGTGACCCTCTAGTTACTGAAGGTATACGAGAATCATCAACTTGTCCAATGTACAATATTCAATGAGTTTTCTTTGTTTTATTGCTTTTAAATTAGTTGTATACTTGTTACAGGCTCAGTGTTAGATGCAGCGTTACTTGGTGTGTTAGCAGGAGCGGGATATCAGCACGTTAGGGTCAGAGCTAGACCTGTGGTGAGTATGAAAAAGCAACCTAAATACAGATTCAAATTGTTGACATTTGCAGTCTAATATTAGAAACCGGATTTCTTACCTTTAAAAATTAACAACCCAAATGAACTTGCTTTTCAAATAATGTTATTAATATTGTAAGGTGGCAATATTGTCAACTGGCAATGAGCTACAAGACCCGTCCGAGGCGACTCTCAAGCCGGCGCACATCCGTGACTCCAACCAGACGATGCTGAAAGCACTTTTCAAGTAAGATATGCGTATTTTGTTATCGTGATTGAATTTTGATTACAGTATGAAATAAAATGACTGAAATAAAAATATTTCCCAAAAATAAGTAAATCTATGTCTATACTAATATTATGAAGAATACAGATTGAAATAACTCAGAAACTACTCCAGTCTAATTTCAAAAATTCTTTCACCATTAATAAGCTACGTTATCGCTGAGTAACATAAGCTATATTTTTTTAATTTCAAATGGACAAAGTCATAAGCGACAACTACTTTATTATTTTTAACAACCGCGAAAAAAAGAGACGTTATAAGTAGCTAATGATTTCTTAACAGTGTTCTACGTAAACCAAATTTTCTCTAGATCCATGCCATCTCTGGAGATACATAAAATCCATACAAACGCATGAATTAGTAAGATTGATGTGTGACAGAGAGCACGGGTACGACAGCGTATGTGAGGGCGTGTCGCGCGACGACGCGTGCGCGCTGCGTACGGCCGTGACGCACGCGCTGCGCACCGCGGACATACTCGTGTGCACGGGCGGCGTCTCTATGGGGGAGAGGGATCTGCTCAAACCTGTGCTTACACAAGTTTGTACACATTTTATTTACCTAATTCCTAACCTAGTTGAAATTAATTTAACCCTTGCACACTGTTGTATAAATACAATATTCCAAAAACCATAGATTTAAAAAGAACTTCTTATGATTTTTTAAATTTTTGTGACTAATAATTTATGTTTCTGAACGATATACGATATACTTTTTGATCATTGGTCATAAAAAATATTTAAACAAGAATAAAAAGTATACAAACATATTTTTGAAAAAAAAATTCTTTTTTTATTTATATTTTTATTTTTTATTTATTATTATACCGATCTTGCATTAATATAATTTTTTCTAAAGGTCTAAAAATTACTACTACCTTAATCCTCAATTATTAATTGAGGATTAAGGTAGTAGTACATACACTTTCCAACATCTCATACTAAATTTGTATTATTGCAGCATGTAGTATGAAATTTTCGCTAAAACATAATTTGTCAACATTTTCATTTGCATTGTAGGACTTTGGAGCGACGCTGCATTTCGGTCGCGTGCGCATGAAGCCCGGGAAACCGAGCACATTCGCCACCTGTCAGTTTGAAGGAAAAACTAAATACATTTTCGCTTTACCCGGTAAGTTAAATTCACATTTAACTAACACTATTTTTATACAACAGTAATTTGTAATGGATTATGTCATAACTAGTTTTCGTCCATGTGGAATTTAAAAAAGTAGAATACGTGTTCTTCCAGATCCCTCAGATATCCCCTACATATATTCCGCATTTCCGTTTCCTTTCAGTTTAGGTTACAAACTGTAACAAATACCCAGCCATACATTTAAATTTATAATCATGCTAATATTATAAATTCAAAAGTTTAGACGTATGGATATTTGTCAGAATTTTTAGCCTAAGCAGTTGAATGGGTTTCAATAAAATTTGATATAGATAGAGAGGATAGTCTGAAAGAACGCATAGGGTACTTAGTTGTTTTCTTTAATTCCACGCAGACGAAGTCGCGGGCGAAAACTAGTTTATTATATTATTAGTTTAAGTAATTTTATTCCAAATGATAAGTTTTCCTTCAGGTAACCCAGTGTCGGCGTATGTATGTTGTTTGTTATTCGTAATCCGCGCGTTACGTGTCTGCGAGCGGCGCAGTGCGGAGTTCCCGCGCCTGCGCGTGCGCCTCGCGCGGCACTTCGCACTCGACCCGCGCCCAGAGTACGTTAGGGCGATACTTAAATTCACTGATGATATACCACACGCTGAAGTATTGGGAAATCAGGTATTACATGTTCTTTTTCTTTCTATTTAGTAATAAAAAATAACAAAAAAAAAAACATACAGACGACTTGAGTACCTCCTTCTTTTGGGAAGTCGGTCAAAAATCGTGATTTGTCATAAATATTAAATTAAAGTGCCAATAACCTAATGTTTCCAGATTTCCAATCATGCGGTCGAGGGTTCGAATCCCGTTCGACTAATGTAATCCATATCCTAGCGAAAACCTAGTTCCATTGGAATGGTAAAAGAAATGTTAGTAAAAATCTATTAATATTTTAATAAAAAAAATGACTACTCATTTGTAAAAAGTTAACATGTGTTTTGTCACTATTTGGTACAAAATTTAATTCTGCACGGTGAAATTCAATGTCATAACGATATAGAATAGTATAAAAGTAGTATATTCTATGAATCTCCATAGGAAAAAGGGGAGGGAGATGGAGGTGAAAAGGTTAAATAGGTGGGAGGAACTGTATTTCGTATACCTTCTCATCATGTTGTTAATAGACATATGTCAATAGTGCAGCAGTCGTTTGCTGAGCGCATGTGGAGCGAGTGTGCTGTTAGAATTGCCACCAGCTGACAAAGAGCTGCGTTCTCTAGCTGCCGGTACTGTCGTGCCGGCCATCGTCACTGGTCGAATGGATCTCAACTAATTTATATTATTACATAGATAATTGCCAATTTTTGATTGCATGAATTATAGTTTAAAAAGCCAATGGTAAAAGGCTTTAAGTGCACATTTTTATGCACTTATATTTATCACAAAAGGTGTTTATATTTGTAAGTATGCAATGATTTTTGTTCAGTAGTGGATAGAAAAATATTTTTTTTCCATTGATGTAGTTAAATAGGTATATCCTGTTGATTGTATTTAATCAGAGTTTGTAGTGATTTTTTTAGTAGAAACTGGTAGAAATTATAATAGTCGACATTTAGCTTGTTCCTATGTTGCCTTTATTTTCATGATCGGTTGTGTTTCTTATCAATGCTTTATTAGAAAATGTATGTAAAATAGATCTGATAAAATCGTATTGTGCACATGTTTTATTAAATAAAAGTTTACAAGTTTAAAATCTGATTTTTTATTACATAATTCCTCTAATTTACATTTTTGTAAAATGTTGTTTGTATAAAATATGTGTAAATCTTTTTAAATGTAGGGTTTTATTGGCTTTTTGTATATTTTAAATAAAATGATTTGCTTTTATATGATTGTGTGAATAAAACTTTTTGTTAATAATAGTGTGTGTGTCACTCAGTGGCTGCGTACATACAATATTTGAACAACTGTACAAATTTTAACTCAATATAACACATAAAACCTTAATTATAATATGGATTCTGAAAGAAAAAATGGACATAACAAAAATAATTTACTGCAATCATATTCACACAAAATATCAGGTTAAATTATTTCACACAAATGAATCACATTACTTTTCACTATGTTTTTTTATTGTTTAATTTCTTTTTTATTGTAACTTAATAAAGTATAAAACAACAACACTGTTAAACGACGCGTTGCACTTCGAAGAATCTCTTGAGATAGTAAACTTGACCTAAAGTCATGACTAGTAGTACTGAAGCCTCAAAGATGGACCACATCACGACACGTGAGTTTGTGCTCTCGTTTATAGCGCGATGGATACGATCGCGTACCTTAAAAAGTTAAAATTAACAATATTAAGAAAAATCTATGACAAGAAACTGTTGAGTTGGGGACCTTATAAGTTATTATGGTGTTAGACCAATATATTTATCACTTTTCCCATGAAAATGTGCAATAGTACTGTTTTTCAATCTTTGTCAAATTGATGATACATTTTAAGACAAAAGTGGTCATAAATGTTAAATAAACAACCAAAGATGTTTTGATGTACTGTCTTTATGTAAGAAGCTCCATTTTAAAAGACCATAAGTTGCAGTAGCTCTATCTTTTAACAAGTTATAATCAGAATAAAATATTACCTGCATGTACTCTTGTTCATTTTTCACAGTTTTAAGTGTGGCAGCCAGTTCTTTGATCATATTCTCCAGATTATTATGGTTAGCTTCCTCATCATTTTCACCGGCACTCTTATGTGGCGCTTCTCCAATTTCCAAATTGAACATTACTACCTGAAATGTAGAAATAAATATAAACACTAGTGGATTATAACAATTAATGCAGAGTTTACTGCCAGACCAGTAGCACTCAATAACTACTGGCTAAATAACTAGACTGGCATTTAACTGGCGCCAGTGAGTTCATACTATTCCAGCCTGGCCTGCACAACTGTCTAACTGTACTGGACAAATGTAAACCTGATATAATGCCATTCACTCATTTTTTGTCTTAATTCTATTCAATTCTATAAATAAACTACATGAATCCAGACAACTTAATCACTATATTTTTGTCTTCAAATTCTATTCAATTCTATAAATAAACTACATGACTATGATATAAACAACTTATGCATTTAGCCAATAGGCAGGGATAGATTTCTATATGCCATAGGGATCCCATCCATCTATCACATTTATACATCTGTGCATATGAAAAATTTAAAGTACCTTTGGTGTCATTGTAGACATTTTATTGCTAAAGCAATAAGTATACCGGCCAGAAGTAGGTGCGGAGAATGTGTAAATACCAGATGATTCTCTTTCACCCCTATGTATCACTGCTCCGTCTGGACCTGTGATTGTGATGTCTATGTCTAGGAAGCCTCCTTCTGCTATCTCAAATGTTAAACCTGGAAAATATTTAATAACTTAAGTATAGGTAACATTTTGTATGTTTACCATGTTTAGCTGTATGAAGATGCGTATTAGAATAACTAAGATGTATGGTAAATTAACACAAAGATTTACATTAATGTCGTGTATGTGTTGTATAACAATAGAGAATAGATAAAATTCAAAAGCAAAAGCTCGTAGGACTTATGCAGATAGAGAAAGTAATTTAATTTTTCAATGGAAATCAAATGGCATAGACAAATACAGAATTTTATTATGCATTTGAATAAGTACTAATTATGTTAATACAGAACGCAAGCTTACCCATTTTTGTATCGGCTTCAACATTTTCGTAAAAGCATTCTTCGGCGTGAGCGTCAACTGTGATTGTATATCCATTTGTTCTATTTAATAATGTGATAATTACAACAGAATATATTAACAAAGATCTATATAAACAGTCCATTGTATTAATATGTAATAAACTAAAATATTTGCGTTATTATTTTAAGTATCGGCAGCTTGTTTTGCTCGTATTAATAGATTCTCTGATGACTTGAGCCACGTAATGACGTACAGATGACAAATGACAGGACACGCATTTGTGACAATTAGAAATACTGCGTTCATGGTCTTCTTAAAAATTAAAACTAAACTACCATATCTTTTTTTTACATTTTTAATACTTTTGCCACCATTTAGGCCAATCGGCAAGGAGGATCCATGTCAATAATTATGGTGAGGGAAGGGAGGGTGAGGTTTAATGAAAAACTGACGAGTAACTTTTGATTATTTATGTGGGTCTGTAGGGATTATGGGAGTACTTTGAATTAATTTATGCATTTCTTTTACAATTATCGCCTCTATAGGGGCCAGCTGCCCCTCCCTACCCGCCCCGTGGCGGCCCTTAGTTTCGGGCGCCGCATTCATCTTTAATGGAATATTTTGAATATTATGCTCGACTAACAGGTTTTAGTTCCGTACAGCTATTCATTGAAACCTACATTTAGTTTCGATATAAATAGATAATACTGTTACATTAAATCATTAAGTAAACCAACTTTTACAATAAATAGTATGTTCAAAAATAATACTAAGCCTTGAGACTTTTTAGTTACTTACTAAGTTGAACCCTATCTATCTTAACTCCAGAATTGATTAAGAGTGAAAAAGATGTTTCGAAACTATATGTAGTAATGTAACGTGCGTTAAATTAGCAAGTGCATCATTGACTCAACAAAAATAACTCTGTTTCAGCAAAAACGTACTATTGAATGTAGGACAAGAAATTAAAAAATCAGACACGTAATTCAAATGGACACAGAAACTGTAACATTAACGATTGTATTTTTTTTTATTTAAATTCCGGCTGGAAATAACGATTTACTCGTTTTTGGAATAAATTATATTTTAAAATAATATGCAAAAAATCTTAACGTATGCCCATTGCATTGCATTAATTGTTTGTTCGCTTTTGTGTTATAAAAGGGTTGTGTTTATAAAAACAGTTTTATACATTTCGCTCGCAGTTTGGTCGTGGCATAGCTGGTGTTAACATCATAGTTTCCATTTTAAACGTAGCGCGCGAAAAATAATAAAGTAGACATTATTCTTGATTGTTCGGTAGGACAGTGAAATAAGAATGGCGTTCCTCGAAGGGCCATCGCCTAAACAAGCAGAAATTATTAAACAGGAGTTGGGGGAAGGTTCTGGCGATTTAGAGCGAGGAGTCAGAGATCTTCGAAGTATGTGTGCAGCGTCACCATATTTACCACAGCCTGAAGTAATAGGTATGGAAAGTTCACTCATTCATTTAAAAAAAAGTCAATTAACAAGTCTTGCAAACTAAAATATGTAGGTAAAGACAATTTTTATCATAATTTTTTTAATTATTTCTTTTTAACTCAAGTTTAGTTAAATGTTTCCTTGAACTAACTTATATTTTGAACAAAGCAAAGAACGTTATTGTTCGAAAAATTTGAGAAAATCACATTTTCCGCTACCGAAAATCGCTTTTCTGTTTTGGTTAAGGACGTTAGCGCTCATTATTATTATTTTCTTGTTTTTAGTAAGATTCAAATTTTCATTTATATATTGTTCACATCCCATATTTCGTTTACGTTTTTATTTATCTGTTTTTCGCAATGGATACATAATAAAACACCAATTTAAAAAAAGTGGAAAAGAGAGAATGCATACTTAGTACACTGTCATATAAACAAATTCAACACATGTACAATACATAATTAAAGTTTAACATCACTTTGGTTGAAGTTATGTTTTAAGTATTTAATTTTAATACATAAGATCTTAACATAACTGGTTAAATAAAAAAAATTATGCAGAATTCCTGATTCAAAACATATAAAATTCGACTTTATTATTTCCTACATTGTCATATCATTTGATGACACATTAATATTAGTTAATAATATCAAGAATATTTATTTTTAGACATTTTTACTGACGTTATTTTTTTAGTAGCTTGATGGTAACAAAACGCATAACAAAGTCATTTTAACGTGGTCAAGGTTGCTTGCGTTGTTATTATAATTGAACTTGGACGCAAATAATTTAAATAAAATTAACTTTGCTGTCGCCATTAATAATACACTTTTGTATCTTAGGAACCAACTTTTTTTAAACAACTAGCTTTCGCCCGCGACTTCTTCCGCGTGGTATTAAAAAAACAAAACCCAGTAGCCTATGTGTTCTTCCAGACTATACTCTACATGTATGCCAAATTTCATTGAGATCTGTTCAGCAGTTTAGGCTACAAACTCTAACAAACATCTATCCATCTAAACTTTCACATTTATAACATTAGTATGATTGTAATGCTAAGGACTTCGTTAGATATGAGTAATGTTTTCAAAACTTGATCGCAACTCTTTCATTTTTGCATTATTTTTAGAGGAACATTAACGAACTTGATAAATAAAGATCGATTCTTATTTACTTATTAAAATGTAAATAAAACAACACCTCACCTGGTCGTATATTGCCCCCAGTTAAAACAGGTTCAACTCGATGTGAGTTCTATTATTACGCGTAGATGCGATCGGTAGTTGTGCTGGTAATTAGCATACCAACCTTTTATAAATGCCTATGAGAATAAAACAAGACCCTTGGACAGATTATTTATGAGGGAAGAAGGAGGGAGGAGTCTGTTTTCTCTTTCCGCCTCTCGAAATCTCGTAGCCTATAATATGCTGGTCTTTGTCAGCTGGAATTTTTCTTTTGATATTACAAACAGACACTCCAATTTTATTACATGTATAGATTGACATTTACTTATCGATACGAAATTTACAGTAGACAATAAAGCTATAAGGAACTGGAACGTTAACAGACTGGTAAAGTGAACAATTTCGACGGTTTATAGCAATACGGAACAGAGTGAGAACGTCTAACAGACCTCATACTAATACTAATACTCATATGGGCATACTAAACTGTAACAAATAGTTTTTACTTGCAAATTTGATGAGTTCTGATCAAAGCCAGAGATGACAGCCATAATTTTTATTTTTAAAAACTACATTCTTAGAGCGGACGCACACCTTTGAATAAACTATCGCACAACTGTTGTACGGTTGTCAATTGTTTTAATTGTTTAATTGCAAAACTAAACTAAACTTCCATATCGAATCGAAGCGAGACTAAACAGTTGTGCGATAGTTAAGTTGCAGGTGTGCGCATGTTCTTAAATAGTCATAGTAGCAAATAGGGCATTCGGTCGAACAACAACTCTGAATACCAAGGCAGGCAGTTAAATAAGATCGATCATTACGAGCCGTGCAATTGACGTGTTTGCATTGAAATTTGTTATTGCATAACAGACTGACTTGTTACAACGTATCAAAGCCGTATTTATTCTATGTCCGTAATACTTAAGTCCTTATAGAAATGCATTTACGTAAATTATAACGCCAGAAGTGCAACGACTGGCGATACAATATCTTAAACTAATTGAATTGATACTTTGTTGCTCTTATGGATTAAATATATAATATATTATCACTAAGGAAATGTTGTAGCGAAGTGGTGTGAAGTCTTTGTTTTATAAAATGTAGAGATTGTTAAGAGAGAAACAAAAACAGGTACACTTATGTTAAGACGCAGATCGAAAAACAGTTTATTTGTAAGAGATTAATTTGTTTTTAATACTTTACGATAACGTGTTTTTTAATTGTTGTATTTTTTTTAATTCGCACGAGAAAACAAAAGTACTTACATATCTTTTTTTCACGAATGCGCTGAATAGTCTGCTGGTAGACAAATAAATTCTTGTATAAAAGTTGAAAACCTTCGGAGGGTAAGAACGGCATTTTTTTTTTCAAATAAATCCTTGCCGTCAATAACTATTCACTTCACTCATTTTGTCTTTGACCTGTTTAATAATTTTAATCACGCAAACATTACAATTGTTTACTTTTGATGTTATTATAACTAAGGTTACAACTATCTATCGTTATTTAAATTACATAAGAAAATTTTCGAGTACACAATTAAGGAAAAATTAGCTTATAGTATACAGTAATGGTTTGGTAATCATCTGGAAATTGTAATTCCATGAGCGTTAGACATCGTAACATCTTCAGAATTCTTCGTTACCATTTGTATTCTATTAAGGAATTACTTTCGTAAATGCACTTTGTAAGTTATGTTAATTTTGTCTTACAACATAATTTATAGGTTGTTCAAAGTACGTATTAGCCACTTGGTGATATTCTAACGAGGTAACTCACTAATTTTTAAGTTTTATTGTGAATTAATTTATAGAGATAGATTATCAAAATTAAACATATCTAAATAACTATAAAAAATATTTAACGTAATTCAAGATTATAATGTTGAACCGTGATTCTCGATTTTTCTATATGCAAACATATGTACATAAACTATGTATCTGCTGAATTAGATTGCATTATATTAGAACACGGCACATTTTGAGATTCTTTGTTTCTGATTTCATAAAACGTCCATCATATTTGATCATTTCTATATTTATGAGCAAATGAACGGAAAATTACCGAACGTTTCCAAAGCATTTGAGGCCACGATTCGTTTTTTTTTTTCATTGAACTAAAAAATATTATACACTTTGATTTTCGAGATTATTCTGCATATTGTCTTTAACCAGTTTTTCATATTTGTTGATATTTTTAAATGTAGATTAACCACAATTCTATGTTAACACAGATAAAAATATTCTGGAACTGTTCGTCCGCGGCTGTCGCATGGATCAGGAGCGCGCGCGGACAAAGTTCGAAGCATTTTGCGTAGCGCGCGCGCGTTGCCGAGACCTCTACGAACATCGTTCCCTTAGCGAGCCACCTTTGAACGACGTACTGAAGTTCATGTAAGTATCATATACAAGCTTTTCCCTGTTCCAAAAATATTAGCTCTTTTTTGTTAACGAGCAGGAGATTTCCGGAGGGTAATTATTATTTACCTATAAATATAAGACCCTCGTTTTTATGCTAGTCTGTTATGGTTTACCTAAAAAAATAATAGTGTAAAGCATACTGAAATGTAATTCAATATGTTATTATTTTCAAATTGAATAAGTCAATGCATACTATTAAGTTCGGAGATGTTCATGGTTTATGTAGTCGAATCGTGCACAATGTTATGCATGTAATTATGATATGTAAATAAGCAGGCATTTATAATATTTTATTCACGTTTACATAATATAATTCGAGGTTGTTACGGCTATCTGCATCATTTAATTAACTCTATCAATGAAAATAGTGACCATCAAAACGGTCAAGTATCGATAACTGCTTATTGCATAACGAATATAAATTTATAGTTGTCGATGTCCTTTACTTTTATGATATTTATCATATTTTAATAAAAAAAAATGTTCCTCAGGGACATTGCGCCTTTGCCAAAGTTAACAGACGAAGGTCTTCGAGTGACGATATTCCGCGTGCGTGCAAATTATGCAGAAAGCAGTACGGACATCGCGGCGGTCGTGCGCGCTATACTGCTCATTAGCGACGCGCGCATGCACGACGAAACCCTCATATCTGGCGATGTCTTCATTTGGGAGGTGAGGATATAACTATGAGAAGATTGATATACCAGATTCATTAACTATTAAATGTTGAAAACGGATGAATGAAATCATAAATAACGTTACTTAAAATCTAGAATTTTATTAACTTTGAGATCGGCAGAATGTACATGTATAAAATTACTAGCTTTCGCCCGAGACTTAGTTCGCGTGGTATAATGAAAAAATCAAGTATGCTATGTGTTCTTCCAGACTATCCTCTACATCTATGCTAAATATCATTGAAATCCGTTCAGCAGCCTAGGCTACAAACTCTAACAAACATCCAAATCCCCGTTTTCATCCATCCAAATTCCCGTTTGTTTACAGTTTGGTGTAATTGTTTTATTGACAGACATCGAACGTCCGCGCCTCGCTCGCGGCGCGCATGGCCGCCGCGGCGAACTCCGTGCGGCGCGCGATACACCTCGCGCACGCGGCGTACCCGCAGCGCATGCGCCGCATACACGTGGTGGGCGCGCCGCCGCTCATCGCCTCCTCGCTCAACTTTATACGCTCCTGTGTCAACGACAAGATACGGAGAAGGGTAACTTCAAATATGTTCTCTTAGAAATTAAAGAAGATAATGGTAAGGTACTATTATGCGACGACACGATGGGGATACAAACCAGAAAGTGTTGAGATCTAATGTTTTTGATGATGGTAGAGAAAGACCGAAAAAAGTATAAATGGATTGTGTGAAAGAGGATATGCTTAAGAAAGGAGTAGATTCAAATATGACGGCTAATAGATATGTATGGAAGAGCAGCACATACTGTCCCGACCCTCCGTAAGGGATAAGGGCAAGTGGATAACTATAAAGGTAAGGTACTGCAATTGTTTAGTTGTTATGCGAAATACAGGGTAATGTTACCATAAGTATTCTGGTATTTTTCTAGTCTATCACTTCGAGTTGAGTCAGTTACAACTATTACATGGGAAAAAAGACAAATAACGTAGGTTCCCATATGTCATTAAGGGCAAACTATTTTCCGAATTAAGACTTTCTAAAACAAAATCTTTTGAACCACCACAATTATTTTACTTTCAGTCACCAAACGCGGCAAATCAAAAAATTGAATCGAAAAATTGAATTTATACATATATGCGTTATTTCTTCATATTACGTAAATTTAAGGAAGTTTAAAAAAACCTTCTTGCCCAAACCTGCATGATTGGACAGAGTACAGGCGGAAACTCTATAAATTACAAACGTTTCCGCACGACATGAGGTCATAAGAAAACCGGTTTTAATAGACAGTCCTATTTCATATAATTGTAATAATATATTTCGTAATAATCCAGTCGGTTAATTAAATTTGAAATTTTCGTTAGAAGTTTGTTATGTATGTTAGGACTACTCATCAACTTGCCCTCAAGGGCGGATCCAGCTTTCGCGCCAGGGGGGTTGCTTGCCTTTATCACACAGTATGTGCTGCTCTTCCATACATTTCTATCAGCCGTCATATATGAATCCACTCCACTCTTAAGCATATCCTCTTTCATATAATCCGTCCATACTTTCTTCGGTCTTCCTCTTCCTTTATAGTCATCCACATGGAAGAGGAAGACAAGATACTCCATGACAAATAAATGAAAAACTAATTAAGTATTTATTTTAACAAATATTTTAGAATGTAACCAACAAACACGTTGGGATTTGTTGAAGTAACTTTAGTTACTTTACGGAGTAACAATATTTATTTAACATTGTAAGTTGTTATTCCTTTATAATAAAACAAACTTTGTCTATGATCGCTATGTCATTTCTAGAAACAGCTAAAACATTTTCCCTTTAATTGCGAGTCTTTCCCCTGATAAGAAAAAGATAATTTAACTAAACTAAAATCTTATGTACCGGTAATTGATAGTTTAGTGTCATTAAAGCTGTTAGTTTTTTTTTAATTAATTAAAAAAAATAATAGACATAAGTCAGTTATTAGTATCGAAGTTGAAAAAAAGCTTCTAAAACATCACGATTTACGATTAATGTGGGTACGGTATCTATTGCGACAAAAATAGTAATCTATTATGTAACTAAAACCACATCGACGTCGTAATTTAGATGAAAAGGGAATTCATTTAAAATAAGCAGTAGGTTGAGTAACTGCATTACACATATACTGCCTTGTATACCGATGTCGGTCTAATTACTTGATGCATAGGCTTGGGCGTGGGATGACAGTAAAACTATAATACTATCCTTTAATACTTCCCATACTTTTCATATAATACAAAATATTAAGATGGTGAGGACTAAAATTAGGCCTCTGGCATGCACACTCATCAGATTAAAAATATGACTTCTTCCATTTCGCAAGTATTATTTTACATGTATATTTACTATACGTTTTGATTTCACGTCTGTCTTCTGTGTGGAAAAACATAAATCTGAGAATTCCAGTTACTATTGCTTACTTTGTATTGCAAGCAAATCTATGTTATATTTGTTCAGAGTTTTAAATAAATAAGTAATAAAAATACATTATACTGCGTATAAGGAACCGGTGTAACAATTAGTTTCCAATCGTACGTTTCTTATAGATTGTACTAGAAACAAAGTTGTTTTGACATAATAATCGGTTGTTTTTATTTCTCTAGTTGGGTTATTTCCATGTTCGCGAGAAACGGGTTGACAACCTCATTTAATACGATCAGACATTTTACTGTTCCTAATAATTTACATACACATTAGATAATGTGAATTAATGTATAGTCTACCAAAATTACCTTGACCTCTGCCCCTTACGCCGCAAAATGCAACTACCTGCATGATCAGATATTAAAAAAAAATCATAAGCTATGTTTACTTTGAAGACATCACAAGATCACAAATCAGTTCAGCAGTTCTGTGCAGTTTAGTATCAACGTACATTCTTTCATGCAAATTTTTTTTAATTACATTAGCATTTTGTTATATGATAATTTGGATTTTGTTTTATTTTCAGTATTATCTGCACCAAAAAGTTGAGGATCTTCTAGAGCACTTCCCGTCTCGAGTGTTGCCAGCTGAATGGGGCGGAGAAGAAGAATCTATTGAAGTCATCGCTAAGAAGTGGAGACGTCGTGTAGACGAACTGAGGGACTACCTACGAGACCTCAGTGAGCTGTCCAACCTCGCAGAAGAACCGCAGTATGACACCGACATTTACGGCACCGTTGGAGCCTTCCGGAAACTAGATATAGATTAAAAATAAAACATTTTATTGTTTAAAATTAAATCTTGACTTGTGGTTTCTATGTAAGGACTATGTAAGGATTAGGTTTACATTTCCAAATTAAGCATTTTCGCTATTGTGATATTTTTTAGACGTTGCACGCTAGATATGTTTTTTTTTTCTAAATACTTAGTTAATAAAAAAAGTTTCTGATGATGTGAATCTTAGTTTTTAGAATTTATTAATCTGATTAATTGACAATTTATGTATTAATTTCACATTATAAGGTATAGTTTTGATTTAGTTCTGTAAATAGATTTGATAAATATTTTCCTTCGTGATTCATCTCATATCGGCTATGATCGAAAGCTTGATAATATTTATATCATTTTGAATTATTAAATGCTATCAATTTCAAAATTTACTATAGCTTGTATACTTTAAAAAAAATTGATAAGTAAGTAGTAAGTACTGTAATAAATAAAAAATAAAGCACTAGTATTTTTTTGAATTTAAAGTCACTTGTCCTTGTCTTCTTGACCGCATTTTATTCCCTCCTTCGCCACACCATACATTATTTCTATGAAATAAAAACGCTAATTAACAGCTCATAGGCACGTTATTGTTGGCTATTAAAAAGTGTATAATTTTATGCCCCCTTTTTGTTAAATACTGAGGAGTCCAAGTATGATCCATCAATGATAACTGATGCATCTGCCTTAGGATATCATTACTAGCAATGATTATACACCGGCAACTTAAAAGCTAAAGAAGTTTTAGCGACCTGTAGTTACTAGCGACTAAAGTTACTTCTACTTTAAGTCTTTCCCATCACAAAGTTTCATCTCTTTAAAATAGCCACCACAAAACACAAGTTGGTTGGTGAATTAGGGCTCAGTTAGCAACTGACCATCGTTCATATATTAAGTTTTTACAATAGATACAGGATACAGAGATGAGTATTCTATGGACAAACAAATTTTTGCTGCTTGCCACACTGGTTTGAATGTGTCATTGACATGTCAACAAGTTAACGTCAGTACAACTTTCAAGTTCATATTTTAAAAATAACGGTAGAAATACCGGGCTGCTGAGAATACAAAACACTAAACATAAAGTGCCATTAGGAAAAATAAATATATTTTATCATGAATATACGTTGACTATTATTTAATTAAGCAACATGGAGCCGTCAAAAGAAGCTATTGCAGTACGAATTACTCGGATAAATCGACAGATAACAGGAAAGTTTACGAGTGGTTCAAATAAATTAAACAAAAAGATAGACCGAGAGACTCTTTTGGACGCTATTACAGTTTTATACGATGAATGCAATGACGATCCAGTTAAGAAAAATGATGAATTTGTGCGAGCTTTTGTGGATAAGTGTATGTATTAACCTTTTTTTATCACATGGGCTTTCGTCTTGACTAAACTTTTTCTGTTCCAGTGAAATCCAGATAAAATTAAAAAGGGGCAGTAACAAATATAAAGGGGCTTTATATTGTTGAAAATTGTCAAATCCTTTATACTGATACAAACAAGTAATAATTGAATTTTTAAAACTGTTATAGATCGTAGTTCCTTGGCTGAATTGCGTCGCGCTCGAGTATGCTATTCAGATTTTGAATTGGTACAAATTATTGGGAGAGGTCACTTTGGTGAAGTACATGTAAGTTGTATATATTTTTGTAAAATTAATCTATTAAATAACATTTTATTTTCTTACAAAATGATAGATATATTTTTATACCCGCTGTCAAATATATCATCTTGTTAAAAAGTGGGGAAAGAATACTGGATAAAGTACAAGTTATTTTTTTATTTTTATAGATGGTACGAGAAAAAGAAACCAGTGATGTGTATGCATTGAAGATTTTACGTAAGGAGGAAGCTCGGAAGCGAGTGGCAAATGGTGCAGAGGATGAACGGGATGTTTTAGCTAATGCTACTGGTCCATGGATACCAAAGTTGCAATATGCTTTTCAGGTATGTAAAATGTTACTTGCTTTTAATTTTGTGAAATTTATTGAATGTATTAACATGAGTTATATATTTGATGCTTGCTAAAGCTAAGTGTATAATTTCTTCATTTTATACGAGCCGTTTCTCGCGAATTCGCCCGCGTGAAATTAAAAATATATAGCCTATGTTACTCACAGATAAATTACATTTCTAACAGTGAAAGATTTTTTAAAGTCGGCCCAGTAGTTTTTAAGTTATTTCAATATATACAAAAATACAAATCTTTCCTCTTTATAATATTAGTATAGAAAATAAATGTAATGTATGGCATCTCTGCTAACTTTTTTATTGTCAATGTTATTTAGCTTTTTAGGTAATAACAGATGGTGGCGTGCTCATTGCTTGCTCATCTCCTAAAAACACTGAAGTGTCTGTTTGCTAAATTTGTTTTTTGTGTTTATAGGATAATAGCAATTTGTATTTAGTAATGGAGCTGTGCAATGGTGGTGATTTAGCAGGACTGATTGCGAGACGCAACCATCCTCTAACGGAAAGAGATGCTGCATTTTATATCGCAGAAGTCGCACACGCACTTAAAACATTACATGGAATGGGCTATGTTCATCGAGATATAAAACCACAAAATATTCTTCTTGATCGGTTAGTACCATTTATATACATATATAACACTCATAATATTTTCTGGTCAAAAGATAATATACAGTGGTGGAATGACAAAGTGTAGATAGCCTTTATGAGAAACTAGTTGTTCCCACGTGGCTACATTTGCATGATATTGTAAAAAAAATATTTTATGGTTTCAAAAATTCATAATAAATGAATGACAACAAAGGCTTTACAATTCCTAAATAAGGAAAGAATTGTGTTGACGTTTTCTATTAGTATAGATATGTGAATACCATACAGAAGATGGGACGAGTTGTAGATAAGTGGTTAAGAATGAAAGGAGTGGTTGTGGTGTAGTGAATGCAGAACTGGACTTGTACTAGCAGTCCTGAGTTTGAAACCCATGTTAAGATTTAGGTCCTGTCCCACCACTGGTAGATAGAGGCTCAGATAGCTTAAAATGACGTCACTGCCAGATAAGAGAACAAAAACCGATATTTCCATCACATTACATGTTGAATTGTTATTAGAAAATTTACAATTTGGTGGGACAGTCCCTTAGTAATGTAATATTTTAGATGTGGTCACGTGAAGATCGGCGACTTCGGATCGTGCGCGCGGCTGTCGGAGGGCGCGGCGACGAGCGCGGCGGCGGGCACGCCGGACTACGTGGCGCCGGAGCTGCTGGCGGCGGCGCAGTGCGCGCACACCGTCTGTCTCGACCACTGCCGCCCGCACGCTCACACCGCTATTGTGGGTTCGCATGCGCACACGCTTCGCAACTCTGGCAACTGTCGCCTTCTAAATTTTACACCTTTGTGTTACCATTGCACCAGGCACCGCACATTACCTAAATATAGTTTAGAATTATTATTGATCATTGAGGTTTCAACAAAGGCTGATGATGATGATTATGATTGAGGTTTCAAAAACAAACAGTCTTCAGTCTGATTTTTAATCTATACTATTATTATAAAAAGGAAAGATTTTTATTTTTGTATGTATTGAAATAACTCAAAAACTACTGAGCCGATTTTAAAAATTCTTTCACCATTAGAAAGGTAATTTATCTGTGAGTGACATAGGTAGGTATATAAGCATATCAAATTGTAGTACATTTAATAGGTATGAATAATTTATGAAATTAAAAATTTGGACAACCCTGTTTTTATTATTTGTTAAAATTTGTCTATATAAAAGAGCTACATGAAATAATAGTTATCGTAATGAAACTATTTATGTGTGGTGCTATATTTTTTAATGTTAATGTATTTTTTTTTGGGTGTTATTACACTATTCTGTAAAGAACACAACTCACCCCCGTTATCCAGTGGTGTAGGCAGAGACTATGGTCTTCCATTTGGTGCGGTCCTCACAAATCACTCCCCTTGCACATTATGTTATAAGAGAGATGAAAATTTAGAAGGAGACAAGTAATTCTTTTAACTTTAGGAAACAAATTTTATTAACACGCCAGATGTTTAAAAATTATAGTTCGTTTCAGTTTTAGATTGGTGGTGAATTAACTATTATGATGAGCATGATTTAAAAGATATTTTTAAATTCTATTAACATAGATTTCTTTATATTGGATAACGTGTAGGTAGAATATATTTTTAGTATGGATATACCAGAGCATGATAACAAGTAGTAAAACTAATTAAATTAACGTAGGGTAATTAGCACTTCGTTTTATTGCAATTTGTAATTAAATCAATTAATAATTAACACTGAAGTTTCTGGCCAATGGTGTAAGGTTTTGTTTTTTTTTTGGATTGTTTTAATTCTTATGTCATTTAAAAAAAACTATAATTTTAATTCAAGTTAAAATGAAACGGATACCTTTGATATTATCTTTCTGTATTCCTTGTTACAAAATATGTTTTATAATGTATGTGTGTCATTTATTTGAATAGTAATTGAATTATTGTGTAAATATATTTGTTTTCAGTCAGCATGTGACTACTGGTCGCTGGGCGTGGTGGCCTTCGAGCTGGTCACACTGAAGAGACCCTTTTCATCCGGAGATGATGACTCGCTGCCGGAGATTTTGGCTAACATACAGAGGTATGTTAACAATTAATAACGCTGGAAAACATTGTGATGGTTAACTTCACACATATATGTTTTTTCGTCAATACGTGCAGTGTAGTCGCAATGTTTTCCTTCGCTGCTTACAGCGAAGGAAAACTATACATATACATATATTTCTTAAAATATACATATGAAGTACTAAAATGGATAAAAATATTAGTGGGGATCGAACTAGGACGTGTCTTTTACGATCCGATCCGATCACGTGCTTTATCAACTCTAGTTTATGTATAAGAGTTGTTCAACCAGTTTCTAGAGCCTAGTAATTATCTAAAGACTTAGTGGAGTTATGAGTGTTTTTACATTTTTCGATTTCCTAGAGGGGGTAGCTACCCTTTTGAGGGGGGGTAGAGCAGAGTACCCATAAGTAGAATGACTATATCAGCCTTAAATTTTGCTCAGTTCATTCCTAAGTTTGTACCGCGTTTATTTGTATGGCGATATTTGTTTACATCATGGAGACTACGTTAAAGGTACGGCAGTAAGAAAGACGCGGAGCCCCCTTTCGAGGAGGTCCCACAGGGCCCCTCTGCGGCCTGGAGGTCGCTAGTGCGCGGCCTGCTGCGCGTCGCCCCCGCCTCGCGATTCTCCTACCTGGACACCCTGCAGCACCCCGCACTGGCGCATCTCAAACTGCATTCTATACGAGATCACGTAACTAGCTATATTCATTGACTTTCCCATTCAGAGTCTTTTAATTGTTACTTAAAGCAAGAACCTCCCTTAGTGGTCAATTAAAGACTTGGAGTACTCCAACTTTGATTATTATTGCGTAAATTCCAGTTGTTCTCAAGGTCTGCAATAAGCATAAAGACCATAAATTTAATTTATGTAATAAAAATATTTAGATATCCAGCAATGTGCTCCTTATTTAATGATGGCAGGCGCCGCCGTGGGTGCCGCACCTGCGCGGGGCGGAGGACGCGTCATACTTCGCCCCCCCGCCGCGCGTCCCGCCGCCGCCCTCCGCACTGCCCTTCCGCTCGCGACCGCCCTTTGCAGGACAACTGCCCTTTGTTGGTGAGACATAAACACCTGCCAATAATGCCAGTTACACACTCTCAAAATAATACTGTACTATTCTTATCTCATTCTCTTTTCAAAACTTTCGGACTGTTTTGCCATCATGTGATACTGGTATTAAAGAAGCACAAAGGTACTTTAAACTTCTAAATTCTCAAATGAGTGTTAGTAACATAGTTGTATGTGCACAGGATATTCGTTCGTGGCGTGCAATAATCATGACGATAGTACTGGCGGTTTCAACGCCTCTCACGACTGCACCGCCATCGATCTCGCTACTTTCAAGTAAGTAATGTTTCTAATACTTAGCAGCTTGAGTTAATTATTGTCTTTTTACTAGCCTAATTACTTGTATGTATTGTATTGATTCGCAAGTAAGTGTATGGATTGCCACTATCGTAACCCTTTCATAAACTCTTCTTAAAAGAAAACGAACATAATATACGTGCCGCACTAATATTTTATTTTTAGTCCTTTTTCCCTTCCCATCCGTGTCCTATAAGGCAAGTAAGAAGAATTGTATTTGACGGAGAAGAGAATGCATAGGAACGGATAATATCCTCCACTTGTGTGTTCCCTCTGTCGATTAAAGGTGGCAACACATATGCAAATGCAAATCGCTTCGCCATTTCGGTGGATTGAAGTGGCCCTATTTAAAAGTGGTTGGCAGTAGAATAGTATAGTAAAGTGAAATAAATGAAAGTTCTGTGTTAGATCAGCGGAGAAGCTGGCGGCGATGCGCGGGCGCGAGGTGGCGTCGCTGCAGCGGCGCGTGGCGGAGGCGGAGGCGGCGGCGGAGGCGGCGGCGGGCGCGGCGGGCGAGCGCGCGCGGCGGGACGCGGAGGCGGAGGCGGAGCGCACGCGCGCCAAGCTGCAGGCCGACATCACCGCGCTCAGTCTGCAGAACAAGTATACATTTTAAACATATTTAACACTAAGGACTATTTTATATTAGAAGTAAAACTTTTTTTTATAAAATTGTCGTTTTAGGAATAATCCCAGAAAATATTTTGGTACACATGTTTTGAAATCAGGCAAAATCGATATCGAAAAGGTTATTATAATGGAAACGGATGTTTCAACAGCTCAACATGTGATTAGTAAAAGAACGAAATAAAAGAGTAAAACAATTTCGTTACTATGTGTAAAGTCATAATAAGTCATAACAAAATATCTTAATTTAAATCTTGATTTTCCATCTGATAAATAGATCTGTTACAAAAATATGTGCTTTTGTTCGTTCCCAGACGTTTGGAGCGTCAAGTGGAGGTCGAAAAAGAAGAACGTATGGCGCTGCAGCGTACGAACCAGGAGTTATCCTCTGGTATCATAGAGCGGAGCAACTCTGAACTGAGAGTTGCGCAGACACATGTCATCGAGCTGCAAGCAGAGCGAGACTCTATAAAAGGAGAATTGAACACACTGCAGATGAAGTATTCCGAACTTCAAGCTGAGAATGCAAGGAATAACAACGCGGTGGAAGCCGCACGCGCACAAGAGAAACATTATAAGGTGATTTATCTTATTTTCATAATTATCTTTATGTTTTACGTCCTTGGTAACCTGGTATCGAAGCGAATTAAAAACTAACTCATTTTGGTTCGTTCCAGCAAAACCATTAACATGTAGAATTAGAAAATTCTTATTTACACTTTTCCTTTGCTTTGCTTTGAAAAATATGGTTTTAGATATTTATAATCTTAATTTTTTAGAAATTACAAATATAACACACAATTTGTTTTGTTTTCTTCGTACTGTTTTTTATGATTGAACCTCTAGATGTCGTTTCCAATTTTATCAGGATATAATACATCAGGCACAAGAGCTAAGACACAGAAGGCTCACTGAAATCAATGTGCGCGCTATTGTAAGTCAAGTATTACATGTAGCTGTAGATAATTGAGTAGTTAGTGTTCAATTATAGATATTTTTATATACAAATTTGAAATTAAAAAACAGATATATATGTGTAGATTTTGTATTTACTTAGAATTATGTTATGAGTAGAACCAACTGTAATAGTAGCATTGAAGAATTAGTAGTTTGTAATCTAACTAGTCACATTATACCGTAAACTGAAAAACATTGTCTATAAAAATGTTGGTTAAAGAAAGTAGCACCAAATTTAAAAAATAAAGCATAAACAGAAATTAGTTAATTTTGGAACCATACCAAGTAAGCTATAGGCTTGTTCTAGGTTCTGTCAAATTTGTCATATAGATAGTTGGATTTGAACCTATAGCCATATAATCAGGTATCAAACCTTAACCTTAGAATGTCACTCTAAAATGCTTCGTCATTAGGATACGATAGCGAAGGAGCGGATGCTGCGGCGGCAGACGCTGAGCGGCGGCGAGGCGGAGGCGGCGCGGCTGGCGGCGGCCGAGGCGGGCGCGGCCAAGGAGGCGCGTCTGCGGGCCCGCGCTGAGGCCAAGCTGGCCGCCGCTGACGCTGAGGCTGACTCGCTCAGGGCAGAGCTGGATGTAGTCAGGGCACAACTGGCAACCGCACAGGTAGACTCTTTTTATTTATTCTCTCATATATAGAATGTTAGGAACATTCTTATAAGCTCAAGTTAAAATTAGATTGTAGCATCATCATCAACAATCATATCACATTGTTCTTTCTTACAAATCGTTCTTCGTTTTAGTTTTGTTTTAATTCCACGGGAACGGAGTTGCGGGCGAAAGCTAGGATGTTATAAAGTTATTAAATATTCTAGGAGACATTAAGTGCTCGACGACGCACCTCCACCGCGGCGACGCATCAACTGAACGAAGTTCAACAGCAGCTAGAAGAGCAACGTGCGCAGAACAAGGCCCTGCTAATACAAGTGCAGGTATTAAAGTTGAAAACGTTGTTTTGAATTAAATTATAAATGGCACAAAGATTGTTATACACTAAAATGAACCAAAACAGTGATGGTTTGTGTCTTCACACATGCACACAGTAGGAAATCTTTCTAAAATCGGATATATTAAAGTAAACTCTTGTCAAGTTCTTCATAAAAACGTATATTATTTTGTTAACTATAATAAAATACCATATTGTGTGTCAGGAGTTGGAGCGCAGCGTGCAGGAGGCGGCGCGGCGCGAGGCCTCGCTGGAGGAGCAGAGCGCGCGCACCGAGGCCCGGCTGCGGGAGAAGCTGGAGGAGGCGGAGACCAGGGCCACCGCCGCCTTGCAGGACGACTCGCGCAGGAGGGAGAAGGTACCCCTTACAATCTTTTTAACAGCCTAAGATCGTTTGCGCGCTGCGCATTACCTCCTCGCGCATCCTTATCACTTAGCATTATCTTTTGCGCAACGAATAAATTACAACCATAGTACTGCAGTTAAAGGGTTATTGCAGTTAATTTGTGTCACTTAAACTGCTGGGCACTTAATCATTGCTAGGGATGTACGTGTCGTACCGAGTACTTGAGTACGAATTCAATTTTAAAAAACTTATTAAATTGCCTTCTTGTACCCCTGAAACATATTAATAAGTTACACATTCCAGGTGAACGGTCTAGAGCAGCTAGTGCGTCAGCTAGAGCGCGAGGTGAGCGCGCTCGAGAAGCGTTCGTGCGCGGCGTGCGCGGATCGCGAGCGCGAGCGCGAACACGAACGCGAACATGAGCACGAACGTGAGCACGCGGACGTTGAAAGCGAGCGAGCACGCGACTGCCGCAGCGACACCGAGAGCGTAGCGGACGGGCACGCGCACTCGCACGCCCAGCTCGCCGTGCTGCGCGAACAGCTCGAACGCGCAGAGGCTCAGTTGCAGGTAATGGATTGGATACGTGGATGTAAGGGTTCTCGTACTTGATGGGATATGGATATTAACTTAAATCTGCTTTTCGTAGGCTCGCGCTGACGAAATAGCGACATTACGACAGGAAACGAGGGCTGCTAATCTAGCTAAATGGAGAAAGGTATTGGTTTTCTTGATATTGTTACGAGCATGAGGGACAATATAATTTATGCATCTAAATATTATAGTGGAAGTAACAAACACAAGTTATTTGAGACCAAAAATCACAATTTTACCAGGAACGTGAATACAACGAGCTATCAGTGGAATCGAAGTCGACCGCTCGGGAACTAAAACGTTTGGAGGAACGTCTAACACTAGCTCAAGAAGCGCGCAAAACGAGCGAACAGAAAGCATGCACCTTGCTGAGTGAACTCAATACGTTACGGCCGCAGCACCAGCGTGCTACCTCCGACCTTGATAACTTGAGGCAACAGCTCGGCAAACTGAAGCAGGAACACGAAGTCGTACAGACTGAAGTCGACAGGTAATTCAACGTTATTACCATAAGCAATGTTTTCTTTTATTATTAATGTTTTATTCACAGCAATAATTTCACCATTTACCAGGTCTCGCAACGATATTCGCAAGTTAAAGAGTGAGCTGCAGTACAGCGAGAAGCGGCGGCTGCACGCCGAGGAGCAGGAGGAGCTGTCGAGCCGCGAGCGCGCGCAGCTTAGGGACGAGCTGACTGCGCTGCGTACACACAACAACGACCTTATGACCGTATGTATTGTTGTCGAGTTCTCGTCAATAGTGGCGTTGTAACTATGTTTATAAATGATTGCTTTTTGTTGGCTTGCAATCAGGCAATAGTTGGGATTGGCTGTTTGTACTGTTGTCATATCTATGTCAATAGATGGCGTTATAACTATGTTTATCAATTATTGATCCTATTCAGCCGAAAAATTATAATTTTAGATACAATCTACCTACCCTGTTTTAATCTATGTGGGTATCGGAGTTTCAATAACTCCTTTCTATAACATTCTATCGGCCGTCATATTTTAAATTCGATGTCGTTTATATCTTTCACATTATCTATCCATGCGTCCTGAATTACATACGTCTCTCATCCATCCACGTACTTTAAAATAGGGTGTAGATTAAGTCATTATTTCCAATTCCATTTCTCTAAATATTAGACTAGAGAACGAACTCGTGTAATTCGTAGTTCTCATATCTCAAGTACATTCAAACAAAGCCTTACATTATTACGAAACATGTCTACAAATCGATTGAAATGTTTTACAAATATTTGAAAGATTATTGTCAACTAAATATGATGTACATACAATAGCAATGCAACTTTTCTAACAAAAAACTCTGTTGTGCCATATCTTGCCATCCCTCTCATCCTCTGTGAAAGATACAGAGACAAAGGTACAAATGACAGTGAAATTTCACAATAACATTGTATAAACAATGTCATAATACAAATATTGATGTAATTCATAAATAATGAATTCTTTTCGTACTTCATTGATTTGAAATGTTCCTTCCTCTTTGATTAAGCCCACCACAGACACTTATTTCTAACAAACATATGCACAGTTTTAACTGAACAGTTCTGCTGTTCACATAAATTTAGTGTGTAACAGGCCTTATATTTCCAATAACAACAAATTACACATGATATTAAATCGATCGCATAATCAATCGTCCTTTGTTATAAAAACATGAACATAAGAGATATCAAATATAAGATGCTGGTTGTATTACTTTTGTCAACAGTGAATGAAATGATTGCATTATTTATTATTACTGGCCGGATGCAGTCATCCTGAATTATTTATTGTTATATTTGTGTTTCATAAACAACACGGCCATAGACACCGCGCGCTCGTATTGTACCACACTTGTATGGGAGGCAAGCTAGCGTATTATTGTGTTTCAATTATAATAATTACAAAACGTTATAAAAACGAAGCGAAAATGTTTATTAAAAATAAATCGATGTTAGTGCTTGCCAAGTTTCAACACGTTCCGCGTATGTGATGCCTAACTTCGCATGTATCAAATTGACGAAAAGGAAATCCAGACAGAAATTAATCAAATATAAAGTAAAACAAATCGTAGCCGCGATGGAATCGCACCAGAAACGGTGTAAACGTAAACTATCTAGTGAGAAACCTGTAGTTAGACCGAAACCGGCGTTTTTGAAGATCGGGACCGGACCCAACGCGTGGTCCCAGCGTCTAAGGCTAGCCTTAGCCGCGGATCTGCTTCGAGGCCGTTGTCGCTCCGTAGATAACGCACTCTCTGCTATACATACACATCTGGCTACAGTATGAATTTAAAACTTTGTCTTTTGAGACAAGTCTTTTGTTGTTTGCAACAGTAACCCGAATGTAAAAATTTAATTTGATTAGACCTTTTATTATTTGTTACAGAATAACAAAGCTTTGCAAGAGGCTTGTACGTTACTGGAGGATCAGTTGACGGAATTAGAGAAATTAACAGATTTACATGAAGTGAAAAATAAAGATCTCGAGGTAAAATGATTTGATTTATATAGAGTTAGTTTTTTTTGTTATATCATAAGGCAGCAAACGAGTAAGCGGCCACCTGAATCCGCCAAATTGGCGAAGCGATCGCTGCTCATAGACATTCACAATATCTAATGTGTTGCCAACCCTTAAGTGACGGAGGAGGAGATGCACATGGATGGATGGATGATTCCCCTTCTTATGTGTCTCTTTTACCCACAAATACACGTTCCTTTCCCATCCTATTCTCATAAGAAAAAGGATGGGAAGGCAAAAGGGACGAAAGTTGGGCCTCCGGCACCACACTCATCAGACTATACGCGGAATTGCTCCCACTTCACGCCTGTCTTCTGTGTGGTCGTGGTATTGCGTGGGGCGAGCCAACCTTGCGTTGCGAAGATATTAAAGCGGGCTCTGCCACTGTTCTAAGTGAGTTAGTGTGTGTGAGGTAGTAAGATGCCGTGTTGTCAGAGCGAGACGCAGCGCATGCGCGGGGAGCTGGAGGCGTGCCGCGCGCGGCTGCAGGCGGCGGAGCGCGCAGCAGCGGAGCGCGCGGCGGCCGCGGGGCTGGCGGCGCAGCGCGGCGATGAGGCACGCGAGCACGCCAGGCTCGCCAACACACAGCTGCAGCTGCTAAGGGTACGTGTTGTATGGAAATTACACTTACAAATCTATCTATACAATTTTACCTTTATTAAATTGTAATTACAATCTTATTAAATATATACATATATCATGCATTTATTTATCACGAGCTGTCGCTCGCAAACTTCGTTATTGCGGATTTACCTTTTACCAGCTATCTATCAGTCAAAGTTCAGTCCAAATCGGTCCACTCGTTCCAAAGAAAGCGGTCCGGTCGCTATTATGACAACGCGGAATTTAAAAAAAAAGTTATTCTTTTGATATTAGGAACAAACACTCCAATTTTATTATATGTATGGAATAGCTTAATTTAATTACTGAAACTGACTAAAATAAATCAATTTGTAAATATAATTTCTCATTTCAAATGACCTCCATTATTATAGGGAAATTTTGTGCGTACTAGATAAATTGAATTTTAACAAGATACATTTTTACACAATTGTGTTTGTTAATTGTCGTGTGTTGATGGTTGTAATATGGAGTATGTATAATATGGAGTAGGAGCGGCTGGAGAGTCGCGAGGCGCGCGTGGCGGAGGTGGAGAGCCGGCTGGCGGCGCTGGAGGGCGAGCGCAGCGCGGCGGCGGCGGCGCTGGGCAGCGCGGCGCGCCGCGTGCGCGACCTGCAGGAGGAGAGCGCGGCGCTGCGCACGCGCGCGCACCACCACCACGCGCACGCGCTGCAGTTGCAGGCCAGCCTCGCAGACGCACAGGTACCCTCACCCTCGCACATACTCACTCCGACTTTCTCTACAAATAAATCATTACACCAGTGAGTGCAAACAAATAGATAATAATAAAAAGAAACTAGTCGTGTATCACGGACTTTTTTTGTGAAGACTATACACCAGAAGTATAAAAATAGGCAATTCCTTCCTTAAAGGTCTGTAAATTTACTGTTCCTCTGGTGCTACAGATATTTTCAGGCTACCCAATTAAGTTCATTCTATTCCTTTATAATAATATCAATATTTGTTATCAGGAGGAAGCGGCGGCGGCGCGCGAGGCGAGCGAGGCGGCCAGCGCGTGGTGGCGCACGCGGGAGACCAAGGCGGACGCCACCATACGGCAGCAGGCCAAGCTCATTGACTTCCTGCAGGTCTGTCCTACACACTCATACATACACATGCATACATGTACATAATATTCTTGTAATAAAAATGCTTTGAAAAATATTTATTACGTCGATTGAATTCGATTTCATTAGTGAAAAATGCGATGAATGAAATCAGGTGTATGAATCGTACACAATGAAATTCCAGTAATCACTACGTAGTATTTATTTAAATGATGTTTATATCTAACAGGCCAAAGTGGAAGAGGCCAATCGCAAGAAATGTTCACTGAGCAACAAGTTGTTTGGGCGGTCGGGGCGCCGCGCCGCCGCCTCGCCACCGCTCATGAGGGTTAACAGGTAAATATAATTGAAATAAATACATAATGTTATACTCGAAAGGGGAAGCTCGGTCAAACACGTATATTTGCTATTGATTTTGGTGGTGGTGAAGATTAAAGTTTTTAAATAAAGCAACCCTCTCTAAATTATTAATTTCTGTTCTAGAGAGCTGCGCGATGAAGTTGAGCGTCTTCGAGCAAAACTAGCTGCTAACGATATGTTTGTATTTTTATTGTGCCATATATATTTTCTTTAAATTTAACATCAGCAAGTAGGACATAATTATAACGTCTTATTTACAGTCCACCAACACCGAAACGAGAAAAAGCAATTGAGAATCCAAAGAAACTAGTCAATGGGTATGTTTCATTTGCTATGTAATACTAACTGTGCATCTTTTGTACTTTCTTAAACATTTTTTTTTGTTTACAGTATAGGAAATATGGATCTATTAAATGGGTTTAATAATGAAGACGTGTCGGAACCGTCACTGCTTATTGTATGGTGCGTTAGAACTTCTGTATTCAGATAATTTATTACGTAAAATTAGTTTGGAAAAGAGAAAAAGCTTAAGCAAATATGATGTTCATATATAAGTTTACTGAGTCAGGTCCGACGGCAGCCGGGAGCGCATGAGCGCGCGCTGCGAGGAGGCGGCGCTGCTGCT